TCTAACCAGCTGTTTTCAACATGAGTCTAACCAGCTGTTTTCAACATGAGTCTAACCAGCTGTTGTCATCATGAGTCTAACCAGCTGTTTTCAACATGAGTCTAACCAGCTGTTGTCATCATGAGTCTAATAATAATAATAATAATAATAATTTTATTTAAAAAGCGCCTTTCATGACACCCAAGGACACTTTACAGTAAGAACAAAGATCAACAGGAATAAATTACATAAAGAATATAAAATACATAAAGAATATAAAATACATAAAGAATATAAATTACATAAAGAATATAAAATACATAAAGAATATAAAATACATAGAGCAAAGTTAAGGATAAGCGAGTCTAAAGAGATGTGTTTTCCGAGCAGTCTTGAATATAGAAAGAGAGGTGGTGTTTCTTAAGTCAGGGGGTAGAGAGTTCCAGAGATGAGGAGCAGAGCAGGTGAAGGACCTGCTCCCCATGGTGGAGAGGAGGGCAGAGGGTACATGGAGGTGTAGTGAAGAGGAGGATCTGAGAGAGCGAGAGGGGATGGAGATGTGTAATAGGTCAGATAGGTACGGAGGGGCAAAGTTGTGGATAGCTTTGAAAGTGAGAAGAAGAATTTTGAAGACGATGTGTGATTTAACCGGGAGCCAGTGGAGCTGCTGCAGGACTGGAGTGATGGTTATAGGAGGAGGTTTGTGTGATGACACGGGCAGCTGAGTTCTGGATCAATTGTAGCTTCTGGAGAGATTTGTTGGGGAGGTCATAAAGAAAGCAGTTGCAGTAGTCAATCCGGGAAGTCACAAGACTGTGCACAAGTATAGCTGTGGAGCGGGGTGTGAGAGAAGGGTTTAAAGGTTTGGACCTTTAAACAGGTCATAGTACAGTTTTATGTTGACATTTTTATTACAGATCCTCACAATCGTCCCACTGATGATGCATTTTGTGTAAAAAGTCATACAAACTATTATATTTTGTTTTGAACGTTCATTTTCTGACAGAACTTGAGTCAGTGTACGGTGGTGCAGCGGTGCTGTGGGCTTCAGTTGTTTTGTTCGTCTCTCCTCCCTCAGAGACTGAAATCCTGAACCGAGAGGCCAGCGAGAGGTTCGCAGCCGGCTACATCCAGTGCATGCACGAGGTCCATATGTTCGTGTCCAGCTGTCCGGGCATCGATGCGGCGGTGGCGGCCGACCTCCTCAACCACCTGCTGGAGAGCATGCCCCTGAATGAGGACCACCTCCAGGACGTGCTGATGGACCTCATCACGGACTCTTCCGTAAGCAGCAGCACCGCCCCGGCCTCTCAGGCAGGGGGGAGCCCGTCTGGAGGGGAGACCTCCGCCCTGTCCCCGGCCCTCTCCACCATGTCCAGCGAGGACTTGTGCTCAGACCTGGAGGAGACCGACAGCGAGCACAACCAGAGCTCCACGGAGGGAGCAGAGAACCGGGAGGCTCTGAGCGTGCCCACCCTCACCTTCCCTCGGTTCATGTGGAGACCCTGGTAGGTCTGAGATGCAGCCAGGAGCCGCTGGAACTGGACCTGTGGGTTTTCTTTCATCTGACAGCTCGCCGAGCCTCTTTCAAGAGGAGAACCTCCCACCATGCAGCACATTCGAACCGTTTATCCGACCCAGTTAGGAACTCTGGTAACTTGCACTGATGGTCTTCAGAGTCTCCAGACTTCATCCTCATTCCAGTTTTGTCTCTTCTGCTTTGACAAAAGCTTCTGTGCGTGTTTTGGGAACGTGATTTTCTCATCAGGAACCACCATGAACAAGTGTTTATTTTTCATTTTTAAAATATAAAAAAATTCACCTGAAATACGAGAAAATTTTATTTTTATGTTCAAAACTAGATGAGAAGGAATCCAAAAGTATGTCATTTAGTATTTATGATAATACAGCAGTAACTATGTTTTAAATACGGACCCATAAAATCACATTCTGACACTGGGAAGTGTTGGCATAAAGGTAAAGGGCTATTTCACAGAATTTGGGGGGATTTTGGAGCACTTCTCTGATTAAAAATTAAAAATATTTTTACTTTTTAAACCTGCTCTAAATAATTCAGTACTGATTGCAAATATGTTAAAACAGAGTTTGCGATTGAAAAATCCATGTTTTATAAGTTAAAGTTAAAATGAGTAAGAGAATTTCAATGCTCTTTTGGCACCACATGGATCAGGTGCAATAAAAAAAAATGCAATAAACGTTTTACAATTCACAGTTTGTACTTTAAAGTTTCTGTTTCTAGTAAAGGACAATGTGGTCAAGGTTTGAACATCTTAATTTTTTACATATTTGACCAGATTTGCCTTTAAAGCCATTGACTGTAATGAATAAAATACAAAGACACAAACTGTCATTTTATCATTTTATATTTAGTGTGAAATTATTCAGTCCAGGTCTGAAAAGTAAAACTGTTTCAGAATTTGTACCAAAGTTGATCAGATGTGGTCCAAATGCCAAACATTCTGTTAAATAGCTTATTTTTTCTTTATTTTTTATGCATCTTTGTCTCACTCTTGGCTTGAAAATGACTTTTTGTGCCCAAATATGAGAAAACGAGTCAATATTAGCTTGTGTTTGCCACTTATTTTAATGTTTTAATATGCTAATAATGAAACAAATCAAACCAATTTAAAATATCTTCTCATTTGTGTGACAAAACATAAAAAAACATGTTTTTAAAAATACAATAAAATTTATTTTTAAAGCACTTTAAAAAATAACATTGTTGGCCAAAGTGCTGTACACTGATAAAAACATATAAAAGCAAACATACAAACAATAAAATCCATTAAAACAGTAAAATAATTCATTGTTAAAATCATAAAAACTATACACAATAAAACAAAAAGTCAAGGAGATAAAAAGTGTTTTAAGATTTAAAAACAGGAAGTGAGTCTGACGTGCAAAGGCAACTCGTTCCACAGTTCAGGGACAGCAACTGAAAACGCTCGGCCTCCTCTCAGCCTCCTCTTGGATTTTGGAATGACCAACAGGAATTTATCTGCCGATCTGAAAGAGCGTGAGAGAATTTACAGCTGGAGCAGGTCAGATACTGTGGAGTGAAGCTACAAAGACGTTTAAAAACAAAATAATCTTAAACCTTACCTCTTGTTTTCTGGTGCCAGTTAAAGGCGAGCAGCAGCATTCTGAACCAGCTGAAGTCGAGTCAGTAATGACTAGATCAGCCGCCGGACATGAAGTGAATTACAGTCGTCTAAACGAGTTATAATAAAAGTATAGCTTGAAGTCTCAAAATGATGTGAAATAAATGGTTTGACCTTGGCCAGTTGTCCCAAGTGATAAAAACTGGACTTGATCACTGATTTAATCTGTGCATCTAGTTTAAAATCATTGTCCAACCTCATTTTTTAGATTAGTTGCTGTCTGAGTCAGATGTTGTGTTAAAGGGCCCAGATCAGCTTGGACTTTGGAACCATTACTGGGCTTAAACAACAAGACCTCGGGGCTTTTGCTCATTAACATGTAAAAAATTCTAAGACGTCCATGCTCTGACTTCTGCAATACATTCCAGGAGTTGGTTCACAGAGTATTGCTTTTCTTGTTTTAATGGAACATAAATTTGGCAGTCATCAGCATAAAAATGGAAAATGACACCATGTTTTCAGAGAATAGATCCTAGAGGGAGTAAATGAAAGGAAAATAAAGAAGTGGGCCAAGTATAGAGCCTTGAGGTACTCCACATGTGAGAGAGGGTACAGAGGACTCAACCACATGCACACAAAAGCTTCTTTCTGTTAAATAGAATCTTAAGTCATTGCAGAGCAGAACCCTGAATGCTTACTCAGTTTTTAGGATTAAATTCTCCTTCCTGATGACAAAATCCAACTGTTAAAACACACTTAGACCAAAAACAGTTGAACAAAGGCGCCAGATCAGCCTCAGTTGATCAGGACTGGGGCAGCACGGTGGCACAACTGGTAGAGCTGCTGCCTCTCAGCGAGAAGGTCCTTGGTTCAAACCCTGGTCCAGGGGCCTTTCTGGGTGGAGTTTGCATGTTCTCTCTGTGCATGCGTGGGTTTTCTCCGGGTGCTCCAGTTTCCTCCCACAGACCAAAAACATGCATGTTAGGCTGATTGGTAACTCTAAATTGTCCCTAGGTGTGAGTGAGAGAGTGAATGGTTGTTTGTCTCGTTTGTCTCTATGTGGCCCTGTGATGGACTTGCGACCCGTCCAGGGTGTACCCCGCCCCTCGCACAGTGATTGCTGGACATGGGCACCAACGACCCCCGTGACCCAAAATGGAATAAACGGGTAAAGATAATGGATGGATGGATGATCAGGACTGTGTAACGTTTGAGGCAGTGAAGTTTGCAGCCTTTCTTTTGTGTTCTGAGACGTAAACAAGATGCAGATGGACCAACGTCTGACCTGAACACACTCTCTGAGTGCCTGAATATCACAAGACAAGGTGGAGTTCTCCTTCCCTTTAACACCCCCACCTCTCTCCAGCTTGGGATGTCCTGAAAGGACCCCCCTCCTCCTCCTCAGTGCTGACAACCTGGCTTTGAGTTCTCTCTGGAGACTTCTTTTCACACCTGGGCGATAAAAGAAGCTTCCTTCTCACTTCCAGCCTGACAAAGGGACAGAACAGAACCAGGACCTGTTCAAACACAATCTGGAAATTAAAAAAAAGAAGAGGCTCTTTTTAGCACAAGTTCAGTGAGGCCTCCGGATAATACAAATATTTTCATGGTATTTTCTGAATTTCTGTAGTTTTACTGAACATGTAGCCTTCTTAAAACTACTTTTTGTCGTATCAGTGTTAAGAAATGAAGGTAAAACATCCGAATTTGCCGAATAAATTAATAATAAAAAGCTGCTGGCTGCTGTGATTTTTGTTGCAGACTGAAGAGGCCGAACCATTGAAGAAGATGAAAATGATTCAAATATACATTTACATATTATTCATTGAAATTTGTGTTTCAGCTTCTTGTGTACTGTGTGTCTGGGTGTGTTAGCAAAATATTTCATAAACCACTGGATATATTTTAATGAAACTCTGAAAGTAATCAATGGATGTAAATCAAATCGCTATTAGCCAACTTAAAAATGGCTCTGTCAAACCTATTGATAAGCTCCATTGGACGTGTTAAACTGTTAGAATATTTGAAATAATTATTTGGAAGTCCAGGATTGAAGCTTGACTTAAAAAAAAAAAAAAAAGCCTGGTTCTCATGTGGGAGTTTTTCCTTTCCACTGTTGCCTCTATGCTTGCTTAGGATGGGAGACTGTGATGAAGTGAAAACTCAAAGCGATCTGTTGGTTCCTAGATAAATAACATTATTCACTGACTTTATACGGATATGGCTCTTTCTGTTCAGTGCCCTGCAATGTCTTCTGGTGATTTGGCACTATATAAATAAAATGAATTGAACTGAATTAAAATAGTTGTAACAAGAGAGATATTGCACTTACAGCCAAATAAAGGACCTCCTCAAACCCAACACAAAGTGTCATCGTTGCAGCATGAGCAGCGCCTCTCTGACGGTCAGTGCAAAGCTACAATTATTTATACATTCCTAGCTCCCTCCATCTGCAGCCAGCGTCCCCGCATCCCAGCTGGGAGACACCTTCTCTCCTCCAGCAGAGCGCGGCTCGTCTGCTGAGAGGTATGTTTTGTTAAAACTGTTGAAAAGTCAGGAAAGTAACAGATAAAATAACGGGACTCGGTAAACTTACAAAGTTTAACATAGTAGGAAAACACTCATAATAAAATAACATAAAAAATGTATTTTCTAAATTTAGTTTTTGATCTAGTTATTCTTTATTTTTGTGTTGTATCACTGGACAAATAAAGTATCTTGAATGTTGGTAGTAGCTGAGAGTCATCCTCAACAAACACTGACACTGACACGACTTGCAGCATCGCACGAGATTGCGCATAACATCATTTATGACTATAACTTCATTATTTTTCAGCATAGGGTGTTGGTTTAAAACCCTGGCGCAAAGGTGGCGGATGACATGTAATTGAAGGAATGCAAGGTTTTTAATTTATAACCTGACATCCGTTTGGTTTTTATGCTCCTGGTTTTGAGTTTTAGAACCTTAAAGTGATCAGTATCATTGTTTGTGTCCACTTGTTGAACCAAAGGGAAGCATCTCTGTATCACAATGCTCAAAGGGTCCACCACCACTCCACCCCCGGTGGTGTCTACAGTCGCACCTCTGTTTCGAGGATTGTTAACAGATTCCTGTTAGATCCTGTCTGGGCCGGTGGTGTGGCCCCTCTTCCTTAGGGTCACTTCATATTTAATCTCTACATCTACACTCGTTTAAAATAATCTGGGCACAGTTTAGAGCATATTTGTTGCCAGCATTCTCAGGTGAGAACCGCGGGGTCAGTCATTCTGTTTATTATCATGCCGAGCTTGGAGGGGGAGAAGATCAAACTCTGGTTGAGTTGGAGGATGAGGAGGAGGACCTGGGTGTGAGGGTGTGAGGAAAGCCTTTAAAATGAGACATCTGATTGGGATCAAAGCGACAGAAGAGCTTCAAAGTGTTTGA